TCAAGCAGATGTTCACCTGCACATCTGCCAATGTGGTATACTGCATCTGCTGTACCCGATGTGGCTTCCTCTACATCGGGGAAACCAAGCGGAGGCTCGGGACCGCTTTGCAGAACACCTACGCTCGGTTCGCAATAAACAACTGCACCTCCCAGTCGCGAACCATTTCAACTCCCCCCTCCCATTCCTCAGACGACATGTCCACCCTGGGCCTCCTGCAGTGCCACAACGATGCCACCCGAAGGTTGCAGGAACAGCAACTCATATTCCGCTTGGGAACCCTGCAGCCCAATGGTATCAATGTGGATTTCACAAGTTTTAAAATCTCCCCTCCCCCCACCGCATCCCAAAACCAGTCCAGCTCGTCCCTGCCTCCCTAACCTGTTCTTCCTCCCACCTATCCCCTCCTCCCACCTCAAGCCGCACCTCCATCTCCTACCGACCAACCTCATCCCGCCCCCTTGACCTGTCCGTCCTCCCTGGACTGACCTATCCCCTTCCTAACTCCCTACCTACACTCACCTTTCCTGGCCCCATCCCCGCCTCTTCGACCTGTTTGTTTCCTCTCCACCTATCCTCTCCTCTATCCCTCTTCTATCCGCCTCCCACTCTCTCCCTATTTATTTCAAAACCCCCTTCCCCTCCCCCTTTTCTGATGAAGGGTCTAGGCCCGAAACGTCAGCCTCTCTGCTCCTATGATGCTGCTTGGCCTGCTGTGTTCATCCAGCCTTGCACCTTGTTGTCTTGGTTAATTACTACCCCATCAGCCTACCCTCAATCATTGTAAAGTGATGGAAGGTGTCATCAACAATGGTATCAAGCAGCAATAACCTGCTCAGTGATGCCCAGCTTGGGTTCTGCCAGGGCCACTTAGCTCCTGACCTCATTACAGCCTTGGTTCAAACATGGACAAAAGAGCTGAATTCCAGAGGTGAGATGTGAGTGACACCCCTTGGCATCAAAGAACAAAGAACATTACAGCACAGGAAGACGCCCTTCGGCCCTTCAAGCCTGTGCTGACACATTTTGCTCTTCTGTACTAAAACTGTCTTCACTTACAGGATCCGTATCCTTCTATTCCCTTCCTCAAGGCCGGTGTTAAGTATTGCACCTTGAAAAGAACAATACTTCTCGTCATTTTAACAGTCTGGTCCTATCTTGGAGTAATTGCTGTTCTTTGTGCAGTATAGCATAAACAAATGGATTACATAACTCCATTAGTCTTAATAATATTGTCCTTTGTACTGCTATTATTCCCTCTTTATTCCTGATCTTACTACCGGTGTATACAGTATACAAGAAGTGGAGGAATAATATCCTTATTGTGTAATGTGTAAATATTAGCATTAACATTTTAATTGAATTTGCCTTCTCCCTACTCAGGATAATACAGGATTTGCCTCGTTGCAGTGAGTGGTCAGGCATAGCCATGGTGCTGATTCTGGGACGACGCATAAACAGGGACGATAACCATTTCCGTGACTCACCTGTCAGCAAACGCAAAGTCTTTGAAGTGGACCAGAAGCTGGCGGTGAATCAAGACATTTTTGATTTCTGCTCGGGCCCATCCCATGCTGAAAGCATCCTCGAGCTGCTGAATGAGTTCAGGGCCAGTCGTCTCTTCACTGACGTGGTTATCTGTGTGGAGGGCCGTGAGTTCCCTTGCCACCGTGCCATCCTGTCCTCCTGCAGCAGCTACTTCAGGGCCATGTTCTGCAATGACCACCGTGAGAGCCGGGAGATGCTGGTGGAGATCAATGGCATCTTTGCTGATGCCATGGACCAGTTCCTGCAGTACGTCTACACAGGGAAAGTGAGGATCACCACGGACAACGTGCAGTATTTATTTGAGACCTCCAGCCTCTTCCAGATCAGCGCCATCCGCGATGCTTGTGCCAAGTTCTTGGAGGAGCAGCTTGACCCCTGCAACTGCCTGGGGATCCAGAAGTTTGCGGACACACACTCCTTGAAGGTGCTGCACTCCAAGTGCAGATGCTTCGGCCTGCAGACGTTCTCCGAGGTCGCCTTGCACGAGGAATTCCTGGGACTGGAGAAGGATGAGCTTATCGACTATGTCTCCAGCGACGATTTGGTCATCAGCAAGGAGGAAACGGTATACGAGTCCGTGATGCGTTGGGTATATCATGACATTGACCGCAGGAGGCCCATGTTGAAAGAGCTGCTGACTCATGTCAGGCTCCCTCTACTGCACCCCAATTATTTTGTACAGACGGTGGAGGGGAACCAACTAATCCAGAGCTCTCCTGAGTGTTACCAACTCCTGCATGAGGCCCGGAGGTACCATGTCCTTGGCAATGAGATGATGTCACCACGGACGAGGCCTCGTAGGTGAGTTGGGGAAGCAAAAATCCGGACTTTCTTGTTTGAAAAGTCACTCAGCCCTGTATTTTGTTAAGCTGGTTGGACACCTAACCATGACAGAAATACTCAGATTGCCACTTGTTAGGTGGGGAATGGGGCCTGGAGGTACTGGTGGGTGTGAAAAGCAGGTGGCAGCACAGAAATATATGTCATTAGACCATGTCAGTCCTGGTCTTGACACATAACCTCCACACAAATCGGGTCAAATCTTATTGGCCAATCGCAATATGGCAAGTCGGTGCTGGGGTCAGAATTGGCCCAGGGTTGTTTACATGACCTCTTAGTGGGAATACCCACACCTTTAACCCTGCCTCCTTCAGCCCACCTCAGTCACGTAAGTGTGTCAGGACAATACTGTTTCTGAAGGAGATGAGTAGCAAGTTTGGTCAATTTATTATCCCTGAAGGTTGATAAGCCTTCTGGTATGGAACTACTTTCACTTGTACTGAACAGCAAGAGATTATAAGAAGCCTTTAGATCATGCCAGAGACAAAAAAAAAACCCTGCAGATGCTGGAATCCAAGGTAGACAAACAGGAGACTGAAAGAACACAGCAGGCCAGGCAGCATCTGGAGGAAAGGAGCAGTCAACGTTTTGGGTATTGTCCTTGTTCAGGACTTGACCACAGGAGGCCCATGTTGAAAGAGTTACTGACTCATGTCAGGCTCCCCCTACTGCACCTCAATTATTTTGTACAGATGGTGGATGGGAACCAACTAATCCAGAGCTCTCCTGAGTGTTACCAACTCCTGCATGAGGCCTGGAGGTACCATGTCCTTGGCAATGAGATGATGTCACTTGAAGAAGGGTAATACCCGAAACGTTGACTGCTTCTTTCCTTCAGATGCTGCCTGGCCTGCTGTGTTCTTCCAGCTTCCTGTTTGTCTGCTGTGGATCATGTCCCTCAGTCCTATCTGTTGACATGGTATCTTTGCCACTATTGGTTCCAAGAAACATCAAAAACCTTTAGATACAGGACAGCAGATGCATGGCCACATTTAACTAATCAGTGTTTTGTAGTATTTTGCTACCCAGTGCCAATACCCACAATGCCTTTCTGTTTTCACCTCCCCTTACCCCCCGACCCCAGGTCCACAGGTTACTCCGAGGTTATTGTGGTGGTGGGAGGCTGTGAGCGAGTGGGAGGCTTCAATCTCCCTTACACCGAATGCTATGACCCAATGACCGGAGAGTGGAAGTCGCTTGCCAAACTCCCAGAGTTCACCAAATCTGAGTACGCTGTTTGTGCCCTGAGGAATGATATCCTTGTGTCAGGTAAGAGAACCCACGTACTGTGATTGAGTGGTTCGGACACTGTCCTTTCACACTCTGGGACTGGCCGGGACAGTGGGTCAGACACTGTCCTTTCAAACACTGGACTGGCTGGGACAGTGG